AAAAAAAACACCGTAGGCCGTTTGAGATTGCTACGATCTACCGATTCAATGGCTTAGCTATGAAAATGGGTGGCAAACGGAGGAGATCAGCTAGGGGTGGTGAGGTACAGAGAAGAAACGAGAGAGAGAAAGAAGAAACAGAGGCGCACAGGCGAGAGGAAGGAGACGCCGCGCGGTGCCTTATCCGGCACTTTTCGGCCGATGCGTGGCCGAAAAGTACTTCGGCCGTTGCCTGGCCGAAATGGCCCACTTCGGTCGGCCCCTGGCCGAAGCTACTATTTTCGGCCATACGCGGCCCAGCTAGCGTGTCTTCGGTCAACCGCGGGTCGAACAGCCCATTTCGGCCGAGCTGCAACCGAAAAGTGCTACTTCGGCCAACACCTGGCCGACGGGCTACTAGTTTTGGTTTTTTTTCATTACATGCTATAGTTCTCGAAAATGCTATATTATATATCATTGTTTTGAAAAAAAATCGATTATTTAAGAGCTCTTGGCGATGAGGTTATGTCGCGTTGCTGATCAGGGAAGACAAAGTGGCATGTATTATGTGCTTATATCAGCTGACTGCAACAAATGTAAGCTTTCTTCGTTTCTTTTCAGTCTTTTCTTTAACCAAGGCTTGATTTCAGAGTAGACCATGTATATTCTGTTCTTGCAGTTTTCCTAGATAAAGCTTTCTGAATACCACTTCAGCGTTATCTCACTACGATGACATCCTCTGTCATTTCACTTTAGTTTATACTCCCTCCGGTCCTTTTTACTCTGCATATTAGAATTCTCTGAAGTCAAACTTCACAAAGTTTGACCGTATTTATATGAAAAAATATCAACATCTGCCATGCTAAAGTTATACAATATGAAACTTTAAGTCATGACACATCTATTGATATTGATTTCAGATTGTAAATGTTGGTACTTTTTTCTATAAAGTTGGTCAAACTTTACGAGGCTCGACTTCAGTCAAATCTTATATGGGAACTAAAAAGGACCGGAGGGAGTAATTCAAATCCATAGGTGCAGCCAATGTGTCTTCCACCTTTCAGGTTTCCCACCTATTTTCCCATCTTTGGTTACCCAGAACTTTTTGGTCTACACCTATAGGCCTTGATTTTTTAATGAAACCTTTAGGCCATGATTGGATTGTCATTTCGAGCGCTTTTACCACTGTAAAATAGTGGCTGACCTAGCCCACTGGGCTAGGGTGGGCCAACAGTGCTATTGTACATACACATTTTTTTAGCCTTTCTCCTATGGTATAAAAGCTATTTCCAAATCTCAGGGTGAGCCATGGCCATCCTCTATCTCCGCTACTGCTGTAAAATATACAGACCACGATCCGTAGTTTTGATTCTCAGGTGGAATTTGCACACGACCGGTAAGATATACTTGTAAAACAAATACAAGTGTATAAAATACAAGTTTAGTAATGTTTAATTTTCAAAAACTGGTACTCTTATGTATCTATCTTCATTATCAAGGTTATTAAAGGAGAACTTGTGATTGACTTTATTTGGAATGCATTATAGATTCTAACATTTCAATTAATCATGTTTTTATTTTAATTGTAACAACATACAGAAACACATATCATGCTGATGAAAAGCGTTGTTCAATCCTAGAGCTGAAGTCATGGTCTCTAATTTTCCGAGTTCTTTGTTTCAGTAGTCATGTACATAATATGGTGCAAACCAATTTACATTTTTATGCATTCATCATCTCGATACTACATATTTAATTTCGCTTCACCAATTCTAATTTATACTAAAGTCTTTCCTTTTCATGCAGCTCATTGCTTACTATACTATTCAAACTTTGGGTACAACTGAAAGGGCATTTTCCGTCTCAAGTGTTTTGGCATTGATGACAATCCAATTTGCAGACTAATTAATCATGTGCCTAAACTACTCAGGTATATTAAATATGGCACAAGATGGTTGGGCACCCTCCGGATGGAAAAGAGCGAAGACGGCATTTCCGACGTGTTTATTTCTTTGACCGTAAGAAATCTGTACTATTAAGAGGGGTCCGCATTGAAAGGTGCGAATGAATCAAACACGTACACATCTACATATTGCCTACCATTTTAAGGAGAGCCACTTACTCAGCATCTACAGAAAAACCTGCCCAGAGCGGTTGTACCGCTTCCTTTGTGGAGTGGTCACGGTGGCTACTGCCCTGGCCGTTGTACCAGGCGCAAGTGAGGTTGTACCGGCCTTTCTGCATGTGGTTCAACTGGGGCTTGCACCAGTCCAACCACCACTCGAAGGGTGATTTCTTCGGGTGGGCATGCGGTACTCTGGCGGTGGCTGTCCAATTGTCCTGGTAGTTGTTTAATTACCGATACAACTGGGGTCCCAGGCGGTTGTACCAGACGGCATTCCCGGACGGTGTTTTCGGGCGGCTGTACCGGGCCAAGTACCGCTCAAACCACCGAACTAAAGGGTGATTCCTTCGGGTTTTGACTTTTGAGTGGTACGAGGATGGTGGTCCTGCAGCTGTTCCGGTTTTTTTGGGTTGAAAAGTGTAATGAGCAGCTATAGTACAGTACTTTCTAGACCATTTTTTGATTTCAGTTTATGTGATTAGGCTGACTGCTTATCCAGCGTCCCTTGTTTATTTTTTCTAATTATTTTTCCCTCATTATGATATATCTCATGTATTTACACATGGAAAAGTGATGTGTTGGCTCAAAATTTCACGTCAACTTTGATTAATTTGGTTATTACCGGAACCAAATCAAAAGTAAATGGTTATTACCAAAATAGAACCGTATCTATGTATATAACCGTATAAACCAAAGTATAAAAACCGTATAAACCGGACCGAATCCACACCCTGAACAATACCTACCTACCTTGAAAGTTCTAAATACTCTTTTCCTTTTTAAACCACCACACATCTCTTTTCCTTACGAAAGTTTGCATGCACTTTCATGTTCCTTCGTTCGTTCAAAAGTCACGTCTGTCATGTGGGGCCCGCGTCATTTTTTCCTATATATAAAAGAAGAAAGAAAACCATCTCCTCTCTGTCTCGCTTCGACCGCTCTCCTTCCTCCGCCGCCGCGCCGCCCGCCCGCAGTTGCTACCGGACTCGAGTGGAGATCTTCCTCCTCTCCTCTCGGTAAGCTCTAATCCGCTCGCTCTCCCTTCTATCTTCCTCGTGTGCGCCGTGAAATTTTGAATCCTCATCCTTCCCCGAGCAACCCGACGCCAGAACCCTACCCGCGTGACCTAGCCCCGAGTCGGCGTTCTTGAGAGCCCTGCTGCGCTAGTGTATGCTACCGAGATGCACCCGCCGCTCACCTGCTCTTGCAACGGCGACCAGTGGTGTTCCCCCGTACGGTTCCCTGCGATGGCTCGACCGGTGGTGGTGTTTCCGATCTGCTTTGGTTGCTGTGCCTGTGTTCCTGGTAATAATTAGTCAGTCTTTTGTTGATATTGTGGTTGCTGCACAACTGTATGAATATGATTGTGGCAATCTTTTCATGATTTCCCCTCCATCCGTTCAATTGTTCGCAAATGGACTGGGTGAATTCTAGTTTTTTTCCCTTTGTTTGCACACAAAGCTCCATAGACTGTGCAAATCAAACTGATTTCCCGCCCATCGGATCTACCGCCGTGCAATCGTTCGCGTATGGATGGGGTAACTTCTAGCCTTATTAAGCCTACTGTCAGTGTCAGGTAGCTAGGATTACATTGGAGGGTTGCGGGACCTCGCGGAATTTGCTGCTAACCTCATCATCTTCTGCTAGATCTTAGGATTGTTCGTCATTTCCCGTGGAAGAAACTCTTCATCTAGAGATCGATGAAGTATATATCATATTAGATATACAGGAGTTGTATACTTATATGTATGTCTTCCACACGGAATGTAATAAGCTATATACTTTGTGTTTTTTTTTGTTTATAACTTTATATATATAAATAAAAAATAGAAAAATAATTACAAGATAAACAGCAAAGATAGTCCAAAATCATTATATGGGTTGGTCAGCCCTTGTGACTACATCTCTCTTATTGCTTCTATAACCTTACCTGTTGCAAACGTTGAAATCTTTGTGTAAATAAAGGCTGGTCTTAAGCATCTGCATGGTGTAGTTCGTAAGGCTGCATTTTCTGTTTTCCGGTTATGATCGATGCCTTGTCTACCAACTCTGAAGGATGCTCTAGCTAGCTACCTTCTGTAACAGTGGGTCTTGTTGGCCGATTTAGCATTCGCCTGTACGCTGTCGGTACCAATTCGACCCCCTCCCCTCAACCAAGCATGCCACACCCATGCCTCTGATAGCTCTTAAGCTATTTAGGTGCCTTAACTCATTTTCCCACTTTTGTGCATTCATTTCTCCTGTACACATGAAAGCGTATGATTTACTTCTCATCAGCTATCTTTGTGTATCTTTCCCCGGTACTGAAATTCAGTGAATCTTTGCTCGCTACTCAAATTCTTAAGCTCACACATGGATCGTTGTTCTTTTTTAGACAGTTTCTGCCGTGTATGTGTTAGACAAGTTATAGTGCTATTGATATAAAATGAAACTAGAAATTTATATTTAGCAAAAAAACAGCAGCAATAGTGAGTATATATGCTGAGACAAATAGGGAAAGTAGAGAAAAATGGCTACGACTGTTGCTACCCTGTGAAAAACTGCACTTGATAGGTGTGTTCACCAAATAAAGTATCACTTGATTGATAATACCATATGTGCCATTTTATTCCCTAGCAACTAACGGCACCTAACTAGTCTCTACAATGTATAGAACTGAGTATATTATTAATGATATTGCTCAAGACTTAACTTTGCATGCTAGGCTTAGTGTGGCACCTTGTTCTGCATAAACAAAGTATTTATGCAGTACATTTCTCTTCTTGCTTGTACTGTTCTTTTATTCAAATAATGGGCTCTTTCTACTACCTGGAATTGTTGACACTTTTTGTATACTGTTCCACAGTCTAAATATTGTCTAACAATTGGTGATGTTTGGTTTGCAAGCTTATCCGGAATGCATATCTTTGTGAAGACCCCCACCGGCAGGACAATCTGCCTCAACGTCCACTCATCAGACACCCTGTACACCGTCAAGGCAAAGATCCAGCAGCAGTACCGCCTCTCCTTCGATGGGGTGCAGCTAGAAGACAACCATACATTGGCCGATTATGGCATCCAGCATGACTCTACGATTGACCTCCGGGAAAAGATGCAAATCTACGTGACGGAGACGCGTGCTGGCAGGACTATCATCCTTGAGGTCGACAGCCTAGACACCATCGGTAACGTGAAGTCCAAGATCGAGGATATGGAGGGCTTTCCGAAGGGTCAGCAATGCCTCATCTTCGCTAACAAACAGCTGGAGGACGACAACCGCAGCTTGGCTGACCACAACATCTGGAAGGAGTCCACCCTCCTCCTCGTCCTCCAGACGTGTAGGCCTGGAGAAAGTAGGATGATGCACATCTTTGTCAAGACTCTGGAAGGGAAGACCCTCAACCTTGAGGTTGAGAGCTCGTATACCATCGAGAATGTCAAGGTGAAGATCTACGAGCAGGACGGCACTTGCCCGATGCAGCAGCGCATCATCTTTGCTGGCAAGCATCTGCAGGACGACCTCACCCTGGCGGACTACAACATTCAGAGAGAATCTACCCTTCATGTGCTGAAACGCCTTTGTGGTTGCTGAGCTACATGGCTTGGCGTTCAACAACCAGTTTTATTTTGCTGGAGCCTTCTTTCCAGTAGTGGTGCGTTATCATTAAAGTAGTATGGAATATTATTCTAGTACTGTATCTTCACAGTTGAAGTGGTTTGTGTTTTCAGTAAAACTACGTACTATCATTGCTCTGGTATTGTTCCTTCACAGTAGAAGTGTGGTGTGTTTTCACTTTTCTGTAAAACTACATACTCCTATCATTTGGTAGCATGTGAATGTGTTGAGTTGTTCTTTTAGGCCAATACTTTTTGGTGGCTTAAAAACAAATAAGTTGCCCATCCCCAGCTTAAAAACTAAACTGCCCCCAAAATATGTTGACGCTTCTAAATTAGTTGACATTCTGCTCATGCCGTCGCCGGCTCCTCACCACCCGCGCCAAAGAAGGGTCGCATAACTTGTTTAGGAAGCCCCAAAGAATGGGAGAGATGGCTTATGAGAGAAGTTGAGGAGGGGTAGCTTAGTTTTTGAAGCTTCAAAAGGATTGGCCCTATCAATCTATCAAGAGGAGCTACTATTATCTGGTTGAGAAGCTAGAAGCAAACCAAAGGGGCAAAATTGCGCAATAGTTTTTGAGAATCTTTTTTACTAGTGCAAATCTTGTGTCTTTTCCTCCTTGTCGTGAGTGACCAAACAGCCATCCTCCTCACAGAAAAGGAGAACAGCCAACCTCCCCTCATCTGTCTATATATCTACTACCCATATAAAAGCACGAAGTGTGGAGATCCAAAACTTAATCCTATCCATCTAATCACACCTATACGGTTCAGATTAGTCACTAAAACATAAAGCAGGGGTTTAGCAACTGCCTCCGTGGCCGCACACCCGCACTATCCAGCCTCCCGAAACTCACGCACGCACGCCTCCCTCTCACAACGCTGGCGCTTCTTGGCGTGGCCCATCTCTCCAGCCTTTGTGTTGGAACTAATCGAGAGGCAAATCGAGAGAGACAATAATGAATCAGACTGTTCTTTATTGATGATGATTGTACACTTATATACATAGGGAATAGATGCCTCGGAGGGATGCGACCGCTCGTAGAGGCGCCGTTCCAGGAAGGTAGTAGCCCCTTTTGTACTGAAAAGTCTTTGGATGCCTTGTTTTTCACAAACTGCATCTGTGTATAGGTAGTAGCCCCTGATGAAGCTACGTACCTAGGGTAGGGGCACGAACCTGTCCAAAGAGCCCTACCCAAGGACGTCCCTAGAGGAAGTCATCTTTCAATCGACTTGGAGGTATCCCATTCGACGGATTCAAGACACTCGACCAAGAAGCTATCACTCGACCACGAAGCCAACCACTCGACTGCCAGAAGACCTAAAGTCACTCCGCGGGCAAACGATCGGCTATTAAGTAGTCTTTATGGTCGTTATAGCACTTTATTAGGGGCGTTATCAGTAACGCCCAACCTTAAATGTACCTTAAACCCTGCATTACTGAGGGCAGGAGGGGGCCGGCGAACTCTATATAAGCCACCCCCCTCCTCAGTATGAAGGGTTCGTACCCTTGTTATTCACACACGCATAATCCAATTGACCGCCTCCGGGCACCGAGACGTAGGGCTGTTACTTCCTCCGAGAAGGGCCTGAACTCGTAATCCTCGTGTGCTTACAACTTCTCCATAGCTGAGATCTAGCCTCTCCATACACACCCCCCTACATCACTGTCAGAGTTAGAACCACGACAGTTGGCGCCCACCGTGGGGCAGGAGTCTTAGCGCCTTGTTGGAGAAGTTGCGATCTTTTCCGATCCATTTGATCATGGTTTTCTGCGGAGTTTTGGTGGAGGGCCGCGAGATCCGTCTCGGCGCGCTCACGTTCATCGCCGACGACTCCGCCTGGCTTCAGGAGGCGCCGCTCGACATCGACGCGCTCCCCGTCCGCGGTGCGACGCACTTCCGCGCATGCGTTCGTGGCGTCCTCCTGCGACAGCCGTCGACTCGATATCAGTCGACCCCGTGTCGTCTCCCCACCCCGTCTCCCACCAGCGCAAGCGCTCCGATCGGTCGAGACTTCAGCGGTGGGTGAGGCATGTCGTGGCCCGCCAGTCGGCAGCCCCACAAGTCGCGGCAATCGAGCCCGACGAATCCCTCTGCGGCCTGTTCGACCTGTCGACTGGCTCCGCGGAGACCGCATCCGAGTGCGACAGCAGCGACCCAACGGCTGAGGTTCTGGCGGTCGACGGGACACACAGTCCTCCCGGTTTCGCTCGCGTCGATGGAGGCGCGGGTGGGGGCGACCCGTCGCATCCCCACGATGAGTATCTCCCCGAGCCTCTCACGTCTTTGCAGCGAGAGGAGCTCCGCCGCCGGAACATGGAATCACTCCACACTCCTATTATCGGAGAAACCCCCGAGGCCTGGGCCTTGGAGGACGCGCACTTGGCTAACCTGGCCGAGCGCACTCGACTGGAGAATCTCCAGCGAATACTCGACGAGCAAGCGCGTCAGCGGGCTCCCGAGTCCAGTCGATGTCAGCAAGCTCCCGAGTCCAGTCGACGTCAGCTCTTCCCGCTGCCGCAGGTATACCGAACCCCAGTTCAGAATTTGGCCGCTGCGGCCCGTATAGCAGAGTCAATTCAGCCCTCCCAGTCGGAGGCTGGCAGGGGCTTGTTGCAGATCAGGGCGTTGCTCCGGGCGGCGGGAAACCAGAATTCCGCCGTTTCTCAGTCGCGGGACAGAATCCACAGTCGATCCGTTGCAACAGATACAATCCAGTCGGCTCACAGCCCGAGATCGCCCCCGAGGCGTGAGGGGCATGGTGACCGGCATGATCAGTACAGGAGGAATGAGCAGTATGATCACCGATTCGATCGTGATGACCGACGTCGAGTGCCAACCCCTCCCCCGAGGAGTGGGTCATATGCGCCTCGACGGCAAGATGACAGACGCCCTCATAGTGTTGGGCAGAGGATTCCAGTCGATCCCAGGGACCCAGGCTTTGATGCGAGATCCATCCTCGTTCAAGGTTTGGTTGACAGGAACATAGCTCATCGAGAAGGCCACAACAGAGATGCGCCTGCCAGCAGCAGAGTACACGCTTCAGGGCCAGAGTGTTTCAGTCGAGCCATCAGAGCCGCAGTGACTCCTCTCAACTTCAGGCTGGCGACTGGAGTCAGCAAGTTCACCGGTGAATCTAAGCCTGACACTTGGCTCGAAGATTACCGAGTGGCTGTACAAATTGGCAGTGGCAATGACGAGGTGGCCATGAAGCATTTGCCTCTCATGTTAGAGGGCTCAGCCAGAGGGTGGCTAAATCAGTTGGCACCCAGCAGCATCTACACCTGGGAGGACCTCTCCCGAGTGTTTGTCACAACCTTTGAGGGAACATGCAAGTGACCTGCAGGCCTTATAGAGTTGCGGTCTTGCATACAGAAGCCGAATGAAATGCTGAGGGATTACATCCAGAGGTGGATCATACTGCATCACACGGTTGAGAATGTGCCAGACCATCAAGCAGTTTGTGCCTTCAAGGAAGGCGTTAAATACAGAGAGTTGAATCTGAAGTTCGGTCGAACCGGAGAGATGTCTCTGAATCGGATGATGGAGATTGCCACCAAGTACGCTAATGGTGAAGATGAAGACCGACTCAGAAGCGGCAAGCTCAAGGCAGTCGCCCAAGAAACCGGAGGAAACTCCAGTCGGAAGCAAAAGCGGAAGGCCGAGCCAGCCGCTCCTGGGGAGGCCCTGGCCGTAGCCCAGGGAAACTTCAAGGGAAAACCCAAGGGCACCTGAAAGCCCAAGAAGGTCAAGGATCAAGATGAGAATGATGTTCTAGATCTGCCATGTCACATCCACACCAAGAAAGATGAAGAGGGTAATTTTATTTACCCAAAGCATACCACTCGACAGTGCCGGCTCCTGATCCAGCAGTTTCAGGGCAAGCAGCCCAAGGATAAAGAAAAAGAGCCGGACAGGGTTGAGGACAAGGATGATAGTGACGATGGATACCCCCAAGTCAATTCCACCCTGATGATTTTTGCCGATGTTGAAAGCAAAAGTCGACTGAAAGTCATTAACCGTGAGGTCAATATGGTTGCTCCGGCAACACCCAGTTACCTGAAGTGGTCTCAGACTGCCATCACATTCGACCAGTCTGATCACTCAACGCATATTGCCACCCCTGGGAGGCAAGCCTTGGTGGTCGACCCAATTGTCGAAGGCACTCGACTGACCAAAGTCCTGATGGATGGTGGCAGTGGCCTGAACATACTGTATACAGAAACATTGAAAGGGATGGGCATTCCGATATCCAGGCTCAGTACCAGTAACATGAGCTTCCACGGAGTCATTCCCGGGAAGAAAGCCGAATCGCTCGGCCAGATTGCTCTTGATGTTGTTTTCGGTGATTCGAAGAATTACCGCAAGGAAAAGTTGACATTCGAGGTAGTGGACTTCTAAAGCGCTTATCATGCCATTTTGGGCAGGCCAGCTTATGCACGCTTCATGGCTCGACCATGTTACGTGTATCTCAAACTAAAGATGCCTGGCCCCAAAGGTGTGATCACTGTTACGGGAAACCGAAAGAAAGCAGAAGAGTGTTTTCAGAAAGGCTCAAAGATCGCTGATGCTCAGATGGCGGTGGTCGAGCTGCAAGAATACCAGAAGACTGCTGATCCGAGTGAATTGTTACGAGCCAAGAAGCCTGCTTCAGAATCAGCTTTTCAGTCGTCCGGTGAAACAAAGCCAGTCCACATTCACCCGACCGACCCTAATGCAGCCCCGACTCACATCTCAACGACGCTCGACTCCAAATAGGAAGAAGCGCTCGTCCAGCTCCTCCGTGAGAACTGGGACATCTTCGCATGGAAACCCTCTGACATGTCTGGAGTTCCCAGAGAGCTGGCTGAGCACCGTCTACGAGTCGACCCGAAATTCAAACCCATGAAGGAACATCTTCGACGGTCCGCCGTCCAGAAGAAGCAAGCCATTGGCGAGGAGATGGCTCGGCTCTTAGCAGCAGAGTTCATCCGAG